CCTCTTCAGCTCCAGGAGCTTGAGGCTCGCTCCGAACCTGAAGCCAGATGGTTCATCTTTGCCAGCGCTGCTTTGGCAGTAACTAGGCTGGCACGAGTCTGCCTCCCCCGTGTAAATGTGCAGCCCATTTCTGAGTTTCTCCGAGCTGCTGGCCTTGCCGGGCGGGGGGGCTGTGCCTGGCGTGGAAGCAGCTCCTTGCGTCAGCACGGAGATCCTGCCGTGGCGGGGAGCGCCCCGGCTTTGGTTCCCCTCGCTGCCTGGCAGATTCTCTCTCAGCCCTCTTGTGCACCGCAGCTGGCTCGTGTTCAGCAGCCCTTCTCAAGGAAGGGGTCTCCTTGTTTTGGATCCCTTTCCACCAGATTCCCAGCCCTTTGAGTGTTTGTGCGGTTCCTTGAACCTTCTTTGATTACTCCAGTAGGAGTGAAGTGGCACGTGGGTTAGATTAGAGCCTCTGAACCCCCAGACCTTCCTCTAACCTGTGTCCTGCCTTAGTAAAAGCTGTTACACCCTCGGTCTGTGGGAGAGACGACGTGCCTGGGGCCGAGCGCTTAAACTTTACCTGAACGTGCAAAACAATCCCTCGGTAAAACGGTTTTGCGCTTCCCTGGGCTCCCCTTCTGGAAAGGGGCCGTGGTCTGGGACCCCGAGTTAGCAGAGGGTTGGCCTCGATGGCCCAGGCAGTCCTTGTCAGCCTTGGAATTTTCTGAGTTGGGGGCCCGGGAGGAGGCGCCTGGAGAGGCCCTGACCTGCTCCTCGCTTCCGCAGAGCGCTTCGACCATCACTGCCCCTGGGTGGGCAACTGCGTGGGGAAGAGGAACTACCGCTATTTCTACCTCTTCATCCTCTCGCTCTCCCTCCTCACCATCTACATCTTCACCTTCAACATCGTCTACGTAGCACTGAGTGAGTCGGGCTGCGGCGGGGAGGGCGGCGGGGCTGGCTGAGGGGGCCAGAAACGGGGGAGTGGGGAAGGGAACTGGGCTCGGTGTGACGTTCCGGGGGAATAAAAATATATCTCTCTCTCTCTCTCTGTGTTGCCAGAATCTCTGAAGATTGGGTTTCTGAACACGTTGAAGGAAACCCCAGGGACATATCCTTCCATGGTGCGGAGGGGTGGGCTTCTCCAAAGCTGGGGGGAGGGGGGGTAGTGTGAGCTGTGTTATGGAGAGACTGGAGGCCTGAAGCCTTGAGGCTTCTCTGAGGAGCCTTTCAGGGCGCGTTCCCCCGTGATTACAAGGCGAGGAGCAATGTTGTGGCTTATGGGTGGGGTCCCAACCACATCTAGGAGGAGAAGTTAGGGTAGTGTCCCGGGGGGTGGTGACACAGCTGGGCTGAGACTGGTCCCAGGCTGTTCCCAGTCCTTAACTGTTCTCACTGTACTGGAGGTGCTCATCTGTTTCTTCACCTTGTGGTCGGTGGTGGGGTTAACGGGGTTCCACACCTTCCTGGTGGCACTGAATCAGACAACCAACGAAGACGTGAGTAGAGTCTTTCCGTTCCTCTGAGCCGCCTCCGTGGCTCGTCGCTTCCTCGGCGCATGGCGGCTGCGCC